GGATGATAAGTATTCTAAGGCATTATCACTACGAAAAGTACGAATAGAAACACCAAACTGATTTTTTATTTCAGTAAAGAAACTTTTGAATATAGAAAATAACTCAGAACGATCTTTCATTAAGAAAACCCAAGTACATTTCGAATAATCATCAATGAAACTAACAAAATAACGAAATCCTAAGGTGGAACTGACTCTAATAGGACCCCAAACATCATAATGAACTAATGAAAAAATAGACTCTGAACGACCCTCAGTACCATGTGAAAATGTGGCACGAGTGTGTTTCCCAAGTTGACACGACTCACAATCTAATTTGGACAAACTAGATAAACTAGGCACCATCTGTTGCAGTTTAGATAGACTCGGATGTCCCAAACGTTTGTGAATGAGGTCCGGAGGATCTGTAACAGAGCATGCTGTGAAGGAATTTGAAGAGGTAAGATAGTAAAGGCCTTGTGATTCATGTCCTGTGCCAATCATCTGTCCCGTACTGCGGTCCTGCATGAGAAAAAAATCATCAAAAAAGGTTATGCCACAATGTAGGGCACGTGTCAAACGACTAACAGATGCCAGATTAAAAGGGGAACCAGGGACATAAAGAACAGAGTCTAGAGTGACAGAAGATAAGAGTGTGGCTTTTCCAACCCCTTTTGGTTTTGTTTGTATCCCATTGGCCAAAGTAATAGCAGGAAGAGATTGTGAATAAACAATATCTGACAGAAGTGATTTGTTACGAGAAACATGATCAGAAGCGCCCGAGTCCATGACCCATGATCCATGAGTATTAGACTGTGAAACACAAGCAAAAGAATTACCCGCAACAACATCATGTTGAACAACCGAAGCTACTTGTGGAGACATTTGCTTACTTGCTCGATATTGAAGGAACTCATCATATTTTGATTGAGCAATATGAGCATTATGGGATGGTCGATCAGGTGGAGCAACAAATGCTTCTTGTGAAGATGTATGCTTACTTGCACGATTACGAAGGAACTCATTATATTCCTTTAGAGTAGCAGGATCATAACTGGGTGGTGGACCATGCAAATTATGACATGTCACGAGTGTGTCCAGACTTATGACAATAACTACACTTGGATCGAGGTTTTCCAAGACGACCTCCTCCTCGTCGATTCTCCATAGATTGATATACTCGTTTTTCTATAGTTTGAGATGCGAGAGCAGAGGAATCAAAGGTCGGTGATGAAACTACTTTGTGGCTGGGAGGCGCAGCAATACGAAGTAGACGAGAGAATAATTCATCAACTGTAGGAATTGTAGGACTAGCTAAAATCTGATCACGCACTGAATCATGGTCAGTAGAGAGTCCAACAAGTGTAAGAACTAGAAACAACGTCTGTCTGTGTTCTTGTTGTTTGTCCACATTTTTAGTGATTGGCATCAACGTGTCAAATTCCTCCATGACTGATTGTACCTGACCCAAGTAAGTAGACATATCGGATTCTTGTTTCTTTAAGCTAGTCATTCTAGATATCACATCATAGAATCGAGATATATCATTAGTATATAAAACACGAGCCTTTTCCCAAACTGAATAACATGTTTGGGATGAGCGAAACAAGGGCATCAACTTGGAATCGATAGATCGCCATAGGAGACTACATAATTGAGCATCAACCTTCTCCCATTGTGCTTTGACGTTATTAGCCGTCTCACTAGCCTTTGCCTTTTCATCTACCACACAAGTATTGTTGGTTAAGTGATCATGAACGCCTTGCCCCTTGCACCATAACTCAACCGAGGAAGCCCAGGCTAAATAGTTTGAGCTTCCCATTAATGGTTCTGAAGTGATCATAGCACTTGAACTACCTATATTCTTGGAGCCAAAAATATCAATCCCTAAAGACATATTATGAATTTAGAGAGAGGAAAAAAAATAAAAAAATTAAGGTTGGTCCTGGTCAGAATCTGGAAAAAAAGGGTGCCCGAAACTAGGTCGGAATAAGAAAATAAATATACAGTCTGCCTTGGAATGGAGAGGCGACCGCAATGAAAAAAAAAAAAATTGGTCGAAAAACTGGCCGGAACAGGTCTCACGCGCCGGTGCGTGGATCTGTCAACTCGCCGGAGAAATTCTTCCGGCGGCGCGTGTAGCACTGGTTTCCGGCGGGGATGATTGGGGTTTGCTCGCTGGGAAGTTCCTCAGCTAGTGGTGGTGTTAGTTTTTGAAAAACAGTGACGGAAAATATTAAATACCTGGACAGCCACTAGATTACCGGAAAAAAAAAAAAAAAAAAAAACTGTGCGATTTTTTTCTCTCACAATTGCTCTGATACCATGTGAGAAATATAGGAAAAGAATATTATTGAATTGTTGTTGTAATAATTACATAGAGAACCCTATTTATAGACACTATATAATACAATTCCTTACCAAATAGGAGACTATAAACTATTCCTAGTTTGTGTAGGATTGTGTTTTCCTATTCTATTCTAACAGTTTGCAATGTATTACATACTTTTTTTGCATTATTGCATGAAGACTGACTATACTCATCAGGTCCAAAGCCACAAATAAGAACCTTTTTGGCTTTGACATTATTTTGGACTGCCTTGATGTCTTCATTAGTGAACTCATCCCTTGTCTTGGGACCAGTTTCTCTCCTGTTGTCATCCTTGGCCATTGAGATTTTTGGACCTTGTTCAATAATATTCCATGGCTCTAGGTCCTCTCCAACAATAAAGTCCTGCATCCCGACCTTCCACCAACCGTAATATTTTCCATTGAAGGATGGTGGCCTTGTGGTCGATTGTCCTTGAACTCATGGTAGTGCAGCCATCTTTAGTCTTTCAAGGTGTTAGCCTTTTGAAAGAACCTGCTTTCGTACTAATTGTTATTTTATGTTTTCACTTATGTATTGAATAAGCAGGTTCTTCAGTTACTATTCAAGAAGTAAATGTGGAACAAATAATCAAAACAATGGTTTTTACATGGAGAACTTCTCGCTCCCGGGAGTCAACAGCCATGACCTACCCCGTCGGCTTTTCTCCCAACTTTCCACTAAATTTGTTACTTTTTAGGCTACAACTTTATAATCAAGGGACTGCTTCATAGACCTTTCCCCTCTACAAATCTCCTAATTGTAGCTACTTGTTTCTATACTCTACCAGTCTTGAACACCCTTACAATTCAAACACCTAATACAAATTTTCTATGAATGTAAAAGTTTACAATTTAAGCTCAAAGAATCAAACTTGAGTAACTGTAATGATAAATCTTGATGGGAATTCTTCACGCTGCAAGTTGACTCTTTCTGATACGAAGTCACTCAGAATAAATTCTCTCTTTAGGTGTTCTCTTCTTGCTGTGTGGTTGTCTTCAATAGCATTAATGCAATGCTTTGTATAGGAGTAGGAATGACCGCTTCTTGTTCTCCTAATCCTTGAAGAATAAGTTAAAGAATCGAAGAACCTAATCCAAGTTTGATTTGGTTTCCATTTGTGCGTCGGCCTCTTTGTTTTCTCCTATTTTTGATGCACTTTCCATGTGTGCAAATATGGTAAAATTTCCATCTTGATTTCTTGTTTTTTTAATTCATGTGATTTAGCCGAAATCCCAATTCCTCAAGGAATCCTTCATACACTTAGAATCTGCTTTGCGCCTGATCAACAGTTTTCAGTTGTCTACTGTGAATGACCTGGTTTCTTCACTTCTCGCAGTGTACTTATATAGTTAGCTCTTGCATTAGACATGTTAAGGAATTGATTCTTCAGTAGTTGTTTGTCATAAACAATACCTCTTTCTTATTTGAGACGTGTAACATCTGGTTCTAGCATCATGTTTGTTATTCTTGTTAATCATCAAAACTCCATATGTGGTTCCTAGCTCAACAGATATATTGACGAGTACCTACTCTACGTACAATTTAGAAACTGTCTCCATTTATCATATCCAACGGGTTCGTACATGTTCCCTGTTCTCTTTCCAATTCATATTGTGCAAATTCCAAGTCTCCTTTCTTTTATTTACTTTTTTTCTTTTAATTTATGCGGTTGATTCTCTTATTTATCAATGAAATTTAAGTTTTCTGCTGTACAACACAGCTGAAACATTTTTGACAACTTCCAGTTGCAGTATTTTTTTTTAAATGAATAAACACTTGTGGTTTCATGTTATAATAAATTTTTAAATATATATAATTCTACAAAGATTTACTAGTCAACAATAAAAGCAACTAATTATTTTTTACTATAATTCTCTTTTATATGAAAAAAAAAAAAAACACTATAATTTTTACTAATTATTTTTATATGCTTTCTCAAAAATAATTCTCTTTTATATGGTGTGAACAATCTTTTCACATTGAGTATAGATTATTAATTTTTGCAAAATTTGGACAAGACCGAAGAAGTATTACTCTTTACTCTTAGTTTCCAACTCTTCTTGCCTTGTTCCATCTTGGAATTGCTTGGACTTTATTGTTGTGGTATTCTTTCTTTTTTTCCCCACAAAACTGATTTGATTGCCATTGAAATCTGATTACATATGAAGGAGGGCTAGGCCTAGCCTTCTATAGAAGATGTATACATATGACAGAAACCAAAAAAGTTGGCCCAAAACAGTGGGAAAGGAAAAGCTTCAAGGAGGCTCATATTGGAGCCTTCTCGATTTTCTCATCTCGACTCGAAATGATGGGAATTGTCATCTTTCGGTAGTTAGCAATCCTCTGATGGCAGTTGGTAAGTCTCTATACTGTATATATACCTTAATTACATCAGTGTTATGCCTCATTGAAGCCAGTTTGTCCACTACTTTGTTAGCTTCTCTAAATCAGTGCCTAGTAATCACTCCATGGTCTATTACTTATTTCTTTATCTGTACAGGAAGCAAAATAGAACTAATATAATAATGTTACTGAGAATTTTCTTCATGCAGATGATCACTTCGTTTTTCTTTAATATGCATCTTAATTAACTTGCTGGACTTTTCTATGTAGTTCTAACTAGGAATAACTGATGGTTGAAGTATCACAGGACCAAAGTCGTGCTCTGGATATGATCCAGAATGACCCAGAGCTCTCTAGCCTGATGTTGGTCCAGGCACCCCTTGTTGATGTAGAGATCAGAGGTGTTCCAGCTCTTCAGTTTTTAGGGGACATTGTCTGGAAATAAAGAAAAAGAACATGACACTGCATCAGCTAATCAGATACATTCTTGTAAGTTGTATTGACTATCCATTTCGTGTGATTTGTCCTGTTCACCCATGACGTTAAAATGTTACTCTAGAAGTTCAGGCAGTAACCTTTAGATAATCTCCTCTGCAGCTTACCTTAGTTGTCTCTGGGGATTATTGTTAATTTGACACAGCACTATTGCATTGGGTCTTGTCCTTTTATTCTTTCTTTGAGATGACTGAGTGGACATTTCTTTTATTTGTTATATGTATAAACAAAGTATTAACTCAATGATGATATCCTGGAATTGTGATGGAAGTGTCAAATGGATGCGCATATGCTACAGCCTTATCATTTCTTTTGCTAATGTTTGTTTTATTATAATCTGCATTTATACAAGCTTCTTTTTCTGAATGATACAGATGTTTCCAGTCACATTTGCCAACAAACTGCATTGATGGACTATGAGCACCCAAGTCTTTTGATGGTTTTGCTCTAACTAGTGAACACAAATACATGCGATACTCGTGTTATTTTACTAAGGTACAGGAAAATACAAAGTGGGAGTTGTTGAGATGAGTCAACAAAAATTGGGCTGAAAGAATTATTTGTTTTCATATTAGTGACTTGACATTTGAAATAAAAAAGAACATGGCAAAGCGCTAGTGAAACAAGTAAACTGGATGTCAATCTCCCTTTTATTTTCTTTTTCTTTTTTGCGGACATAGTGAACTTGTTTTGTTGTATAAAATGGGTTGTACGATGCTTTGTATTTTGTGGATTTCGAAACTGCTAAGAAAAGGCTTGTGACTGTGCGTATATAGATATGCTTCTGCCTTTATGTTCTGTTAAACTTGGTATACTAGATTTTTCTAGTTCTAATAAATAAGTAAAATATACTACAACGCTTGCTTTACACCCTAGACCCCTCTCCCCTCTGCCTCAGTTTTTTGTCGAAAGGCATTACTGTAACTTATGACTCGGTTGACTGAGAGAGAGTTCTCTTTTGCGTTGTTTGAATATAGTAAAATTTATTGAAAATTGTTTTTGGGTCTGGAGATCATTTCATTAAAATCAAACAAATGGTGGAAGCCCAGTCTATACAAAAAGAAAGGATAGCAATGATCTGGCCCAAAATTAGACTCGATCCAAAACAAGGAATACGAAAGATTTACTAAACAAAACAAATATCTGAGCTTTGTACTAGCGTATTTGGTACTCTCTTCTTCTCCTCGCCTCCACTGTTTGAAAATGTTTCCACCACAGGTGAGCTTGCATCTTTTTCTTCTCCTCTAGTGGGTTTCCTTCCATTTTGATCCCTATTTGTTTAGCTATTGGCTTTGTCTATCGTGTTCACTCTCACTTGGTGAGTGTTCTTCCATCATCTCCCTCTCTTTTTCCTTCCTTTGAGATGATGTTTCACATTTCTTCTTGGGTGGTCGTGTTTGTTACTACAAGGGACGGTAGAAACACTTCATTCCAGCTCAGATTTGGCTCTTCCTATAAACATTTGTTATCTCATATTTGTCTTCTTTGATTTACTCTGCTCTTCTCCTTACTTCTCGTGTTTCTTCATGTCCCTTTGCAAGTGATGTTGAGTAGATGTTGCATTGTCTTCTTTAGGATTCACTTCTGAAAAGCTCCAATTATGCAAGACCCAACGAAGTTTGGTAGCAAGTTTTAGTGGGGCGTTGTGAGGTACATGTTTCCCACTAGAGCTGACAACACACTTACAAAGGATAAGGTGAGTTTCGTTGCAAGTTTGATATCATGGTTCTCAATAAACTTTAGGAAACTTATTGCAGAAGAGATAAGGCACATATTGACTAAGTCACCTACTTCTTTACTTTTCTTCTACTTAATGACAAGGCTATGTACAATAGAAGAGTTGCTTATTCTTGTCTAAATTGATGTGGAAAAGCTAGTAACTAAGAGGTTCGACATTGAGAATATGAGGGATGAGTCGAGACTTGAGATGTGAGATTCACAAACTAGTGCCACAAGTATCTGGTATAAGTGCACATGCAGGAGCCAGTGTTGGAGAGCATCCTATGACGTCCACTAGCACTACTATACTGACTTTTACACCCTCTACATTAGAGGCAATGAGAGCACATGGTGTAGAGTCTACTGAGTTTATTGAGACTGCTTCATCATTATCACAGCTCTCACCATATGCTCTTACACAGACAAATTTCATGAGATTGGTAAATAGGGAGGATCAATATAAGAAGCAGAGGAAGTTACTTGTTGAATAACTAGGTCTGTTCGTTGATAGGGCCATCACAGAGGCATTGGGGTCGTATAAAGACTTACATGCCCGGACAGATGATATGGTGTCACACCCCAAGGCTACCCCCTGGACGTAAACACGGGACCTAGAATCACGAGTGACCCCAAGCTAACCCTGAGCTGGCATATCATAGCATACTAAGATAAAATGACATGAGAAATACTATGCGGAAGCCAGAAACCATAATATGACTGAAGTGGGGAATACCCAATACTGTTTGGATAACATACTGAATAAGAGTTTACAATACTAGGTTATAACTCAAAATACTAGAACTGATTCTAACTATGTCTGAATAAAAGCCTCTAACTGACTAGAGATGCTGGGACATTCCCCAAACTAACTCTAGCAACACTGAAACTAAAAAGGAAAGACTGAATAGGAAACATGTCAATCGTCCTCGAAAAATGAGGACTCACCACTGGTACTGCTGAACTGGAGATCGGGAATCGATCTATGCATGATCTGAACGCTGAGGACCTGAACCTACATCACGAGAAGATGTAGCGCAGAGTATGCGTCAGTACTTGAAGGGTACTGAGCATGCATGATAGGATAAAGCTGAACAACATATACATAACTGAAATAAAGCATACTGATCAATGATATAAGATGAACATGAAGAATATACTAACCATGTTGAATATGAACTAAACTGAATGCAATGACCAAGTTCATAACATACTGAAACTGAATACTGAACTGTAACTGATAACTTGGTCAATGCACTAGAATCTGACTGTGGGAGCTACTAATAACCGACATAAAACCATGTGAGCTAAACGTGGAGTCCGATGTATACACCCCATCGAGAGGACCCAATATACCTTGCCAGGTGTATAAAGGCATGACTGGCGTGATCACTAAATATGATGCCCACATAGGGGACTTAACCTACGGGGGCACGTAAATCTGGGACTATGAGGGTGACTGACCCTAGTCCAACTCGATATTAAGCCTACTCCCAATAGAATGTATGAAATACAACATAACTGACATAAACTGGATAGCTCGATAGTCTAACATGCTAATTGAAAATGCAACATTAAGTACTGATAATGAAACATTTGAAAACTGATGCATGTATATATGTATAAACTGACCTAACAAGCGTAATTCATGAACTAAACGAATCTACACAACTAGGGTACTGAATTTCATGCGAGAACTAAGTAACGTAGTTAGAAAAATGAAATATTCTGATTAGGATTAATCTAACAGTTAAATATCAGCATAATATGAAGTTCTAGAAACCGTAAGTCGAAACACAATGAAGGGAATCAAGAATCTGACTAAATTCTAGGGACCTAATGGGCGAAAGGAACCCACTAGTGAAATCCCATACCTGGTGACTAATTCCACAGAGAAATCTTTCGATTTCGGGAATGGAACTGAGGAAAACATGCTGCTTTCTTGCAAAGGGCTTGGTCGATGGTTTCTCTCTTCTTTTGCTAGGTTTGATCGATTTCTTTGAGAATGAATGGTTAGGGTAAGTTCTAATTAAGTTACTAGGCTCAAATTGACCAAAACGACGTAGTTTAGGGGTTAAACAACGTAGTTTAGGTGTCCAATGCATAGGGAAAAGACCAAACAACCCCCGACTTAAAAGTTGTCGAGGCCGACGACGGGACTGACCGATGGACCGTCGACTGACCTACGATCCGTCCTGGTCAGTCGTCGATTGGTTTCAGAGACTGGGATCTGAGGGTGTGAACCACGGCCTGGACCACAAACCGTGGTCTGACCTATGGTCTGTAGGTCCTGGCGTGGGTCTACCCTTAGTTGAGATTTTTTGGGTTTCTGGGGAGGGGGATCGGGTGGTCAACCACGGACCCCACCTACGGTCCGTGGGTGGTCCCCTTTGGTAGCACCTTTAACTTCTGATTTTATGCAATCTGGTCTTTCTAGCATACAAGGTGTTATGCGTGATCTGAATGCTGAGGACCTGAACCTACATCACGAGAAAATGTAGTGCAGAGTATGAGTTAGTACTTGAAGGGTACTGAGCATGCATGATAGGATAAACCTGAACAAAAAATACATAATTGAAATAAAACATATTGATCAATGATATAAGATGAACATGAAGAATATACTAACCATGTTGAATATGAACTAAACTGAATGCAATGACCAAGTTCATAACATACTGAAACTGAATACTGAACTGTAGTTGATAACTTGGTCAATACACTAGAATCTTATTGTAGGAGCTACTAATAATCGACATAAAACCACGTGAGCTAAACGTGGAGTCCGATGTATACACCCCATCGAGAGGACCCAATATACCTTGTCAGGGGTATAAAGGCATATTGTCTTGATCACTAAATCTGATGCCCACAGAGGGGACTTAACCTACGGGGGCACGTAGTTCTGGGACTATAAGGGTGACTGACCCTAGTCCAACTCAGTATTAAGCCTACTCCCAATAGAATGTATGAAATACAACATAACTGACATAAACTGGATAGCTCAAAAGTCTGACATGCTAACTGAAAATGCAACATTAAGTACTGATATTGAAACATTTGAAAACTGATGTATGTATATCTGTATAAACTGACCTAGCAAGTGTAATTCATGAACTAAACGAATCTACACAACTAGGGTTTTGAATTTCATGCGAGAATTAAGTAACGTAGTTACAAAAATTAAATATTCTGATTAGGATTAATCTAATAGTTAAATATCAGCAATAATATGAGGTTCTAGAAACCCTAAGTCTAAACATAATGAAGGGAATCAATAATCTGACTTAATTCTAGGGACCTAATGGGCGAAAGGAACCCACTAGTGAAATCCCACATACCTGGTGATGAATTCTACGGAGAAATCTTTCGATTTTGAGGCTGGAACTGAGGAAAACTTGTTGCGTTCTTAGAGAGGGCTTGGTCAATGCTTTCTCTCTCATTTTGCTTGCTTTGATCGATTTCTTTGAGAATGAATTGGTTAGGGTAAGTTCTGATTAAGTTACTAGGCTCGAACTAACCAAAATGACGTAGTTTAGGGGTTAAACAATGTAGTTTAGGTGTCCAACACATAAGGAAAAGACCAAACGACCCCCGACTTAAAAGCTGTCAAGGCCAACGACGGGCCTGACCGATGGACTGTCGACTGACCTAGGGTCCGTCCTGGTCAGTCATCGATTGGCTTTAGAGACTGGGATCTGGGGTTCTAAACCACGGCTTGGACCACAGACCGTGGTCTGACCTATTAGTTGAGATTTTCTGGGTTTCTGGGGAAGGTTGCAGGTGGTCAACCACGGACCCCACCTACAGTCCGTGGGTAGTCCCCTTTAATTTCTGATTTTCTGCAATCTGGTCTTTCTAGGATACATGGTGTTACATTATCTCCTGCTTGGGAACATTCGTCCTTGAATGAAGACTAAACTAGCTGAATATGAAGGGAAAGAACTGCAAACCGTACCACTAAGTACTAGAAATTGAAATCTGACTAACTAAGTTCCAAGAATATGCAAATACGTTGAAAATGCAAGTATAACTGAAGGAACATGATAGTAAGACTGAATTTACGCATGAGTAACTGAAAGACTGGAG